GAAGTCAGGTGAATTTTTTAAAAGTATTTGTTGATAATATAGGAATTGATTGTTTTTTTTAGAAGATTGTCAATCATTTATTTCTTCAATTGCAAATATTATACATTAATATTTTTCTATGTGTACATAAATTTTTAATTGTTTTTAAAGTTCTGAAAGTGTGAGAACAAGAAATTCATTATAATTTCATTACTTCAATGTACAGCGATAGATCTCCTTATACAACTGATATATTCGTAAAATTTTGCAAAAGTAATTTTTATTTGCCTGTCATGATTTATTTTTTATAGTTTTTGTGAAGCTAACCCTAATATATATTTATATGGAATCGAATAGAAAAATGGAATAGCGTAGAGGGGTAGTGTGAGTCGACAAGGGCTGTACGCGGGGCAAGTGGAGAGTATATATAGAATGTTACGGGTCATAAAGCATCCTCAGTCATTGAGACCAAGACTAGTAGGTGCGGGTGTGCACGATTCTGTCACGATGTCCAGACTCCAGATGCGTGTGCACTCCAGGGGGTTGTTTACTGCTTATCCTGCACTTTTAAAGTAATAGAATTGCGATCTTGCGCCACTTTTCTATCATGCCAACTCTAAGGAGAATAACGAGTGTGAAACTTGCTCTGGATACACTTACGATAATTCGTCTTAGTGTGATTACAGCAAAAGAAATATATATATATATATAAACTCACACCTTTTATATCGCTTTTACCAAAGGTCCACACTTCAATTATTTCTCATATCTTTTAACGCACCTGGGACATTAAAGTAAAATCAAATTTAGGATTATATAGAAAACTCGTACCTATTATTGCGTCTAAATAAAATAATTGATATATAACTTTTATATATGAAATTCAGACATTTTTTCCAAATTGAAAAATAATTTTCAAAAATTGTGAATTCTTCTTTCTTTTTGTGGTATATTTAATGAAAGAATTAGTGTTCTCCCTCTTTTTTTATGAAGTTTGTAGATTGGCGAAGGAAGAAAATGATAAATTTTATTGTTTAATTGAAATATAAGGTGGTTTTAGTGCGTAAAATATAATTTGATGGATTTTTGATCTGAAAGTTGAGAACCATTGAGTGTGTGTAATATGAAGATAAGACATCCCTAACACATCTCCAACCCCTACGTGTGGCCCTTGATCAGGGATTATGTTGCCATCTATGTTGGCACACCCTTGGACGTTACGACGCATCCAAATGACCCAACCTGCTTGACTAAAAAGATGATGAAAATAGTTTTCGCTGAATTAGTTATCTTTGTAATTTAAGATGTTAGAGATAAAAAGAAATATTTTAGGAGCGTTCATTTATATATATAGTTTGTCGAAAATTATTGTCCAACAAAATTACTATATATGTAAGGAAGGCTTAGGAACTTTTTATTCGCAAATTAAAAAGGGAATTTTAATTTTTTTTTTTTAGGATTTTCTGATCCAGAGTAGAAATTTTATAGGAAAATAATTAAATCTCTGTCGATGCTAAACGAAGCTAAGAATCTGCAAAATGATAGGTTGTGGCTGATAATGTTCAAGTAGGTTCATGTTAAGTTTAATGTAGGGTCCGCAAGTATGTTTAGGTTACTGAATCAAAGAAGGTTTAATGCTGATGATAATAAATTCATAAAATAGACAATCGTGATGAAAGGTACAAGAATAGAAACTACTATTTTAATGGACATCTCTTCAATAGTCACACAGCATGTGACGAACTATGGTTGCCATGTTTTTTTAGAGGGTTGATTCGGGATCTTTTTATGAATCTACCATCAGCAAGTATGTTACTGGTTGGCGAGGTAGAAAAGGGGTCGTTACATGTTATTTCATTCGAGTAATGGTCACGTTCATAAGCCAATCCCTTACGATCACTATAGTATGTTTTTTTATATGAAACAAGTATATACCTAAAATTGATCAACGCGATTTTTGATTTATTATAAAATTTAAATTTCTAATTATATGTGACGTTCCATGAGGAAAGGGACCTTAGCTGCAATAGACGCATTTTCCAGAAAAGGTATTTAAAGTAGAGCGTCCCTGATTGGTTGAGACCCTCCATCAAAAATCAGCCCCACCACCTTACTACTACATCGTTCCTACAGCTCACGCTTACGACAAGTATACTAGTAGTAGTAGTGGTGGGGATGGTTTCTGTAGTCCGTGCTGGAACGCGATTAACATGGTCATGATTAATGCTTTATAACAAAAAAACTAAATAGAAAAGTACAATTTTTAACTTTTGTATCTGAAAGAGCAACTCAAGATCTATCGACTGATATCAAAAACTCAATTTTCATTTTTTTGCAGCTAAGGTCCCTTTCCTCATGGAACGTCACATATGCTGGTTATTAGTTATTAGTTTTGCAAGGTGGCAAAAATCAGCTTGGTAACAGAGTTCATAAAAATTACAAATGTAGATTTTCCTTACTAAATTTGTAAAGCTCTATATTTTTAAATAGTGATTTCTAATCATTTTTTTAAAATCTGCAATAATTGTCTCAAATGCAGTATATAACCCACATTTACCCAATAGTAAAATAATTTAGTAACGATTGAAATAATGTTTTCTTTACAGCCAAAACAGTATATTCTTTAAATTGTAAACTGATTTGGTTAGAGGATTGAGAATCATTTTTCATCCCTTTGGATTTAGTGATTCTAGATTTGCTACGCATTTCAAGATCTTTCACATTTTCTTTTCATGAGTGAAATCCGTTTGAAGACTTTACATGGGCGTTATAAGCTTCTGCACTTAATTTAAAGGCTGTCGAGAAGTAAAGATTCGTTCGCTATATATATTGAGGGGTCGACACTCTATCCTACAGAATTTTTTTTTAGTGGGGTTGGTTTATAATCCAAGCATTCCGCTTTACAGTTCACTTAACTCTCTCTCTCTTTCTCCAGTTCTTTTTCATATTCTTGTGGAAATTCACCCCTGTCAGGGTGTTCTTTTGGAATTTATATCATTTTCATGTTTTCGTTTCGCTTATCATTTTTTACATTCTATTTTCCATACACTTAATTCCTTTTTTAAGGCATTTTAAAAAAAAAAGAAGAAATATAATATAATAATTTTATTTCTTTCTAATAAAGATGTGATATATTTATAGGCAAGAAAATTAAAAAATTGAAAGAATTATTCAAATTTTTAAAAATACTTTTTCAATTGACGAGAATAATTTGGTTAGCGAATAAAATGGGTGTAGGCATGTGGCAAATTGTTTGGTTGCTGTACGCGAAAGAAAAAGAGAAATGAAAGGAATTGGTTGAGTGGTAAGAGAGGATCGAACGGAGGCAAGGCGCAGGTTATCTGTGATTCAAAGAGAGCGATCCATCTTGCGACTTGCCAGTATTCAATTGTCGGCATTTGTTTGTGAAATCAGTCCCACTGGACCTATCCCTTCTTTCTTTTTCTTTTCTTCTTGTTTCGCATCATTTTGCATCCAATAGAATTATGCCAAATCACTTTTTCAATAAAAAAAAATAAGCTTATAGCATTTTCAATGTTCTTTCAATTTTTTTTTTCAATTAATTACACACTAATTTAAAAGTATCATATTGATACTAAAAATACCAAATTGATCCAAATTTCTATGAGATACTGAGAGAGGTAGTCCACTATCTTTTTCTAAACGTTTGTTTAGCGAAGAGCAATTTACGCTTACCTAAGAGCGGAATTGTTGATAGTAAATTTTAAACATATCTTTTAAATATTTCTATCTTTTTAAATTTTTTGTTAAATTAACTTCTGTCTTTAACAAATGGTAAGAACTTGATGGTTAAAAGTAGATGTTATCCGGTTTCATCATTATGTAATTTGGTACCATCAAAGATTTTACAAAAAATATGGTTATGTTACCCACTACAATCAAGATGTTACTTCTGTACAATATAACTCGTAGAATCTTTACTCAAAATCCTGACGTGTTAGCACACCGTATGCTACATAATTACAATTTTTAACTAAATATTTATAATTGATGTGATTATTTAAATTATTTTTCAAATATCGATAAATTTTCAGTATGACGTCACTAAGGTGATTTGATCAGAAAAAGATGCAAAAATAGGGACAAAAAAAGGCATAATCGAAGCCAAGCAGGGTTAATAAGGCCATATATATTTATTCAAGGGGGAATAGAGGTTTTTATGGAGAATCAAAAGGGGGCAGCAAAAAAAAAAAAGAGTGGTAGGCTGGTTTGGCTTAGAATTGGAGAAAATGTGACTGCGACATGGCAAGGATGGATTTGTATGTTAGAGTTAGATCCATGTGAGAGCCCATAAAGTGACCCTAGGCCAGTTTCACCATCCCTATCGAGCAGTATCGTATACGAGAGAGAGAGAGGGACCCCCCTTAGACCCGCAGAAGGAATTATTGCTCTTATATATTCGTCGATTCGATCGGGGGGTTGAACGAATAATTCGGTACTCTGGATTCGTGTGAGACTGAATCAGACACGGAAAAAAAAGAGAGAACTTTCTGTTCGCCATGACTTGTTCTAAAAAAGAATTACTGACTCGGAACATTCAGTAGGGTATAGTAAAAAGAAATATATATATATATTTTTTTTTTTGCAAAAAACCCTGCACTTGACGAATATTTTTTTTTGCGATTAGTTTTAAAATATATATTTGATGAAAATGAAAATTTTAAAGTGCCTTTAGTGCAAACATTTGATAAAGTTTTAAACTTTAAATTTTTATTAAATTAAATATATGAGAAATAAAGTTGGAAAAATTTAAGTATTTGCTGTGGTATTTTGTTATAGGTGGTACAATTTTAGTACATTCCTCTTAATTCTAATAGCTGTTTTTAAAAATAACATTGTATGAGATATTATTTTTGTGACCTTGATCTATATACTTTGAAATATAGAGAGGGATTAATTTGCAATTCAATGTCTGTCAATATTGAACTTATCAAGGGAAAAGAAAATTCATTCTATTAGAGTAATTGAAAAATTGAATTATTTAAAAATATTACCGTAAATTAATTTTTTATGTCACTTTATTAAACAATATATTTGATTCAGTCTTTGTACAATTTTCAATTAACGAAAAAATCGGTTTTGTTTTTCAATAGAATTGAATATAATTATATAAATTAATAGCAATGATTAAACAATATTTTGCTTTTTTAGTGTTTGTTGATATTTTAAAAATCGATATCCTTGTGTTAGTTGAGCTCCAAAATTAACTATATGACACGAAAAGAGTAATAAATTTCTGGGTTTTACTTTGATGGAAAACCTCATAAAAGCCATTGAATAACAGGAAAGTGCTGAAATAATAAAAAAAAGCAATTCCACTAAATTAAAATAATATTTAGTATAATCGTTTTCCGTAAAACATTTTTTTTTACATTTTGTAGATTGTAAATTTTGAAAAAAGATATTTTAATTTTATACCTAATGTCATTTTTCCGCTTATATATTTTGGATCCCTTTGAATGTCACCAATTGTCGATATTGGAATCATCCAATTGAATACTGGTCCCCAAAAATGAGTACTGCAATTTTAATAATAATAACTACATTTTCAAAATTAAACGATCTTTAGATTTTTACAACAATAGCGTTTTTTGTAAAAAATTAACATTAATTTAATTTTTTCTGTTACTATATATGTATATATATGAGATAAGAATAATTTTCTAAATAATAATTACCTCATGAAATAATCTCTCATTTCCTTATTGGCTATAACTTTTCTCACATGACTCGACATTATTGCTCGATTTTTTTTTAAAGAATATTGGTCCCTTTAAAACCTGAAGAAATGGATTTTTTAGTTACATAAATATTTGATGTTAATTAGATATTTATCCAATGCGATTGAAGATGATCTTGACCTTTTACTTCATATCTAGTCGAACTTTTGAAAGTCAATACTTGTTTTCCTATATATTTCTCTAATTTTAAATATATCTTAAAATATTTAAAATAAGTTTAGATTTATTGATGGTAAATAATAATTAATTTTTTTGTAAAACATACATAACAATTATAATTTAATCTAAATAATTATAATTAAAAGGTATAAATAAAAAAATAATTTTCAAAAAAGAAATTTAATCTTTTGTAGCGATTTATAATATTGAATATATCAAGTAGAAAATTACTTGCCTTTGGAAAAATAAAAATTCTTTAATTAACGATTATTTTCAAACATTAATGTAACCATGAATTCAATGCTTGTTACATTCTTTTTACATGAGATTATTTGTAGTCCGCACTTGTCGATGTTTAAAAGTAAACTGGAAACGATTAAAACCGGATTTTCTAGTCGATTCAACTTTTAATATAAATAAAATCGACATCACTTGGTATGGACATTCTAAACTGATTAAATGAAAGATTTTATCTGTCTGTTACGTGTATATGTGTGTGTGTTTCTTTTTTAATATTGCATACATTATATATTATGAGATGCAGAAACAGAGGGACGTTAATACGCCACAAACAAACTAATCATTAGTAATAACTTAAGGACATGTGATTTTTGAGTCACGTGATTTCATATGTAAATATTTTCCTTTATTTTTTTTTTTTTTAGAAATTACTTGATAGTTATGTTTAAAATTAGGTTTTTGAATATAACTAGGGGGCCTTATAAAAAAAAACTATTCTTTACGATTCAACAACGCAGTCGTCCTCTTCAAAAACTGAAAATTTATTATTATAATGTGATCGGGGAATTACCGGGACCTGATAGGGCCCTAGACTACAAAAATCATTTTTAAAAAAAGTAATAAATGAAGTCTTTGGTATTTATTTTTTAATGACCACATTCAAGTAATAAAAATAAATGTTATATTGTCAGTGAATGTCTTTCCTGAATGTTTAAAATAAAGAAGTGTTACAATAAAATGGCAAAGGAGAAAAGTACAAAAAGAGTAAGGAGATATCGATTTATAAAAGGACTTAAAAATTTAATGCAAAACACTAAAGAAAGTAAGTAAATATTTTTAATTAAGATTTTCTAAAAATTAATTTTAGAAACTTCTATAATTTTTCATTATCTAAATATCAAGTTGCAACGTTAAATTACACCAAAATTATCTATGCGGCCCATTTCTATGACTGCAAAAAATTATTTATTTTTTAAAACATGTTTCTTGAAATTATTTCTCTTTAGGTTAATGATACTTTTTGCAATTTCGCAAAGAGTTATTTTTAAGCGAAACAAAATTATTTAATTTTTGAATAAAATATATCAATAACATTAATATTGCTTAAGTATTTAACATTTTTTAAATTACAAATTGTTGAAACTTTTTAATTTTCTTATCATTAAAAAAATAATTCTAGTAAGTAATTATATAAACATATAAAATTTTATTTTATTAAAATTTAACCGATATTTATTTATTAAAATTTCGAATTTTTTTAATTATTCCAGATGTACTGATGGGAAAAATTCAACTTCAGCCAGATGAGGATGAAGTTAGATTTTTAAAGTTAATTTCTGTTGTGTTACTTTTTTTCGTTTATATATTGTATCTTCTGTAATCTCATTTTGGTTGAAAAAATAAAAATTTACTAACTAAAATGAAAGGGTTAACAATTTTGTTCATTTCAGTATTTTATTTCGATTTTCAATAATTAATAGCAAAAATAATTTATATAAATAAAATTATTACAAAAGTTAATTGTATTAATTATAAATGATAAATAATAATTACTATTTTAATATGTTTATTATAATATTTTTATTTATAAACCAGATATGTAATAAAAGAACTGATTTAAAACTTTACCAATTAAAGTAAACAAACATTTCTTTATATAAAATTTATATTTTTCAGTCTAAGGAATCACTAAAATTTCAATTATTAATTATAATTTGTGATTTAATTATTTTTATATGATTAAAATGTTAATGTTGAGCAGGAAGAAACATTGTAGTTTTTTCAATACTGTCAAGCCAACCTATTTTTTTGTAATTTAAACAAAATGTTTTACTTACTATCAATACATCATAATTTATATAATTTTTTTCACTTAGTTTGTAAAATCTCAATTATTTTTAGCACGAACGGCACTTTATTAATTGCTGAGCTAGAAAATACATGCAAACCGTGTCTTTTTTTGATGATGTTAATGACAGGAAAGAGGTTATTAACTGAATTAATTAAACAATATAACGACATCTGTGGCCCCTTTGATAACCCTATTTGGCCCTTAATTTCAAAATGTATTGTCAGGCCCAGTTCAGGTAAGGTGTTTCATTTGATCATTTCCCTAACTAGGGCCATATTTCGCCTAATCTGGTCCTGATCTGCACCATGTTTTAATTTCTACACGGGTAGAGAAATTGTCCCAATCGAAGCCATAGCATTATATATTTAACAAAAATTCACAAATTCTATAATATATTCCATACAATGTAATCAATTTCGTAATCAATTTTCTTTATTCATATATAAAGTAGATTCTGTCATCGGAACAATGTCATCCATAACATTGTCCTGACAGATTTGCATAGACATTTACACGTTCAATTTAATCAGAAACCCCTCGATATCCCCTTCCATGAGCTAGAATTCCGCCACCCTTCTCATAATAAATGCACAGGTTATTATTTCTCGCGTATAATATTGATGGCGCTATGAATGTTGCATGGTAGAGAGCGAGGGTATATACATATATATGTACGAGACATAGGAAAGTCGCGGGGGTGGTAACCGTCAAGCCACAGGAGTATAGTGGGGTAAAATCTTGAATAGGGTGGGGAAGAGGCGCATGCGTACCAAATAGGGTGGTATTATTGATCTAGAGGGGTGGTCTTCTAACCCTCTGGGTCCAGCGTCGTGTTGTCCTGACTCGGAGCCCTTCACGTGGTCCATAACTTATATGTCCTAGGCAAATTTTATCATAAATATAGGGTTGCTTATAGGGTTCATTTAACCCTCACACTATATACGTTTTCCTCCATTCTTTTTTTTAAACTTTCATCCATTTTAATTTCTTACTATGTATTTTTATAGTTTTATTGTTCACCGTTACTTTTGTAAATAGTTTTTTATCCAAATCATGATCGTCGAGTCAAGAAGGTTGATAATTAATTCGTTTCAAAATCAAATCCAATTATGAAATAAACGGCCACACTTTATATAAAAACATCAGAACTCGAAAAACCATATGATAATAAAATAAAGCAATAATAATTTAAAATTTAACTGAAAGTACTCTAAGGGTTTTTGAGGTCCCTGATTACGAATCTGATGTTAGTTTTTTAAAATTCAAAATGTCGGGTTCAATATGGTGAATGACATATAGAAAAATTAATCGAATTGGCTTGAAACTCGTTACTTGGGGGTAATTAGGAACGTTGATTACGAATCTGATGTTAATTTACTGTTAATGTTAACCAAAAGTAGGTTAAAACAGGATATCCATACTTTCGCAGGTTTTCAGAAAAATTTTTAAGGTTTGTTAAATCAAATAGAAAATTTGTAAACAAATAATTTTTTTTTTAGAAAAAATGTTAAAGATTTCTGAGTTATATTTTTAGAGTTTATACTGTTTCAGGTTATAGTTCAAACAAATATTAGTAGTTTTATTTTTATCTCGTAGACTTTTTTCTATATAGTTTTTTTTTGTTATGCATTCTATTTTTTTTTATTTTTTTTTTTGGAATCAAGGGATTTACGTTGGTGTGAAAGGATCCCCTGAATATGCATTCTCGTGTGTGTGGTACCTTCGCGATCGTTCCCTTTTCTGAAAGCAAATCCTTGGACCCTTTCACCCCCTCAGCAGCCCCTAGGCTGCCATTCGAGGCACTCAAGAGTATTGCCGCTATTTTCAGCTGACTATATGCGATTTAGCTGGCATACAAGGGTCTCGCGTTTTCCCGGGAAATGTCGTTTACATTCGCCTTTTCGTTTGACATGCCTGGCGTTTATATATATATATTTATACTAGCTACATACACGAAGCAGGCCGCGGCTTTTTATCGTGTGCGACTAACGGCTTGGGAAACGGTCATTACTTCTTCCTCTTGGCGATTAATTCTTATATACGAATGCCAGAGAAGAGAAAATTGTTACATGCAATAATCAACCATATAAAATTTTTTTTTTACATAATTTAAGTCTTCGTACTTTTTTTAATATACATACCTTTTGGTACACTTCTTGATTAGAAATTAGCCATGATGCAATGTATACTGAATATATAGCTGTCGTTGGTAAATTCTTTTTCTATTCCCGTCTTCTCTATTGAGCTGCTCTATGAAATTTTATTTTATTACAATATGCTCTTTATTTGCTAAGGTAAAGTAGGGATAGTTGAAACACGCATTTTGGTTTTTTGTTATAAAATTTTACTTTTTACTTGATTATTATTAAATATTTTTAAATAATTACTAGGGGGGATACGTATTATTAAAATTTTATCTAAATTTTGAGGTTATGTTTTTTTCTTTGTTAGGGGAATTTGAAGTTATGTTTGTTGGACATAGCCTCAAACCCAATGGTTCCTTGACCTATGTCCTTGAATTTTGAGGTTATGTTCGTTTTAATACTAATATAGGTAGATATATGGGTCGTTCCACGTCAATTTGCCTGTGGGTTTTGACATGGAATGACTCATATTGGAGACAGCGGCGAAATCTTTTTATAATATAGAGATTATTTAAGGTACTTAAATAATATTTGTTTCAAATACAATTTATTTATTTCAAATAGGAATTTTTCTTATTCAAGTATATATTTATTTTGACTAAAGTAATCGATTATTTGAATCAAATAATTTTTTTCCAGAATAATTAATCTCGTCCAACTTTCCTCTATATACTAAAGTTTTTGTTATTTAAAAAATGTTTTCGAGTGAAAAAAATATTTTTTTTTCAAAGTTTAAAACAAGTTTAGACTCTTTTTTTTGTACTCAACTAAATAGAAACAATTACATTAATGGTCAAATAAGAAGGCGTTGAAGAAATTTTTTTATAGCTTTGATCTTGAATATAGTGTCTAAGCGTATTTGCTCCTACTTTGTGAATAGGAAAAAAAAGTACTTTGATGTTTTGAAATAAAGTCGATTGTATCCTCTCTTTTTTTCTCGTATCATTTAAATTGAGTCTATGCAGCAAAGATTTAAAAAAAATTAGAAAAAGTAGGAATTTTTTGAAAAGCTATTTTATTTTAAAAATCTTCAAATTAATGAAAATTTCATTGTAATGATTAACAAAATTAAATTTCTTTTTAAATATAAAATATTTTTTTATATTATTATAATGATTGTTTTTTCTTATAAAACGATTAATAGAAAATGC